AAACGCACACACACACAAAAAACCCCACACACCACAAAATTTAGTAAGAAAAATTCAGATGCGAACAAAACAGGGGAAAGAAATGTTAGTCAGATTGATGGGAGAGAAAGTTGTCTACAATAGCAGTTTCCCTTAAAGAAGGGAAAGCCAGACTACCAATAGATTTCCATGATCAGAGTGGGAGGTGACCAAGAGCTTCTCAAATGTGTTAATGAAAGAAAAGAGATTATTAAAGAAGAGGAAGCACACGGTATTGGGGAGGTGGAGGTCCTGCTGCAATGGAGAAAGATCTAGAAGACTCAATTACACAAAAATTGCAAGCCTGGACAACAAGAAAAAGGATATATTTGTAAAGAATGCTAACAGAAGGCAGCAGCAAAGTAACCCAATAAGGGCTATGAACAAGGGCCCCATTGATTGCAGAGTCTTAGAAATGTAAAGAACATACAAAATTCCATGGGTCAGGCTAGGATAAGGAATCACTTAAATTGAAGAAGATCTACAGTTATGAAAATCTAGAAAACATATGTAGAGAATTATAGGTACATCTTTTAGGAACACAAGGTCTAAGAGTTATACCTGAAGTAAGGCACACTTAATGAAGGGAACATCTAACACATCTTTTTGTGTTCAAACAACTGAGTAATGTTTATAAAAGATTTTTTTAAAAGTGGTAGAAACTTACAACTATAATCCTTCTCCTCTTGTTTCCTAATATCATCCAGGTTTATCTCAATCCCAGAATCCAGCAGATTCTTATGTAAAGCTGATCTTGCAAGGTTTGGCAAAAACCTAAACCAAGGGGAGCAAAAAAGGAAGGTCAGTTTTTAATTTTACCTGGGTTAATTTTTGCCTTCCAAGATCAATGTGACAATTCTCCCTGACTTCATATGCTCTAAATAATTCCTGTCCCACTCTGACAGTTTCCAATTCTTCACCTACTCTATCTGTGCTTAGGAAAGGAAATGGAACCTCATGCTACTGGAAACTGTCAAAGTTACTCTCCTCACATCAATAACTTCTAATTCAAAAAGGTATCTGGAAAAAATACAATCACAACAGTAGCACCAAAGCATTCTTTAGATCTAAATTTAAAGTTCAGTCCCAACATTGTATTAATACTAGAAGATTTACCTGGAGTTATTGGGTCCTTAGGGCTATGTCTACATAGCAGTGTTATTTCAGAATAACTGTCATTATTCTAAAATAACATAATCTGCATCTACACTACAAGCAGTTATTTTGACAATGTCGAAACAATTTTGAGCTGGAGGACTTCTTACTCCGACTCCTGTAACCCTCATTTTACAAGGTGTAAGGGAAGTCGGAGGAAGAGCACTCTAATTAAGCCAAAATTCGCTATTTTAACTTAAGCTACACAATTAATGTAGCTCAAGTTGTATAGCTTATTTTGGCTTTGGCCCTGCTGTGTAGACGTGCCCTAAGTGAAACAATTTTTGCTTTTTTCTTCATTTAAATTATTACTCTGGGGTGGAACTAGAGATGAGAGGCTCAGTATTACAGGCTGCCCCAGGGAGAGAGGACTTGCCCAGCCCCCTCTTCCCACAGCAGCTTGGGCCAGATGAGAAGAAGCGCCTCTCCATGACCACTGCAGCTCCAGCAGACTCAGTCGGGGAAGGGGAGAATATCCCCGGTTAGAGGACAGACAGAGAGTCAGAAAAACAGACAGACAACTCACTGTACCTTTCTACACCCCTGCCCCGTGCTGGCCCAATGGAATTATAGCTGTCCCTGGCCCCATAATGCTCTCTCCCTGTGGTCATTATGCAGTGTAACTGTCCCTTCTAGTAGAGCTCTTCCTTTCCATTTTATGAGAAACAATTACATTTTCCCTTTTTTGAAACAGCATCACAAAGTTGACAATTGTTAGTTCTAAAAACCTATTTCTCTTAAATCATTAAGCACCTGACATACATACAGGGATTAAAAAGAAGTGCTGAATTACATGTTTCAAATAATGTTTGAAATCTGAGAAATCCATAGCAGTGAAATCTAACATTCTCTGATTAGGGAGGATCAGAATAGTAGGGAGGATCCTAATTTTAATGTCTAACTCCTTCAAAAACATTAATCCATCTTTCTAGCATATTAGCAGTTGTTTGACAGAACTTTCCAGTAAAATTAACATGGCTACCTGGAAAGACAGGCTTTATTGACAGCATGGTAGAGATTTTCATTTGGATACTGTGATAGGCGACGGCAAATTCGTAATAGCTGTCGTGTGGACAAAGATGATGCCAGTGACTGTGCCTGCAAAAAATAAAGGAAAGTTTATTAATAGTCCTCTTACATTTAAACTTCAACAAACTTAGAAGAAAACCATTTACACTAAAAGCAATTATTTCCAATTATGGTCTTAAAGAGTTGCTTTCTTCCTCAGATCCCAGCTTTCACTGTTTAGTCCTTCAGAGGTCATAATACAGTAAAACTCCAGTGGTCCGGCACTCCTGATGATCCGGCACCATCTGGAACCCAGAAGTGCTCTGGGCAGCCGGACAATTGGAGCTGCTCGGCGCCCAGCTTCCCCGATTCAGCTGCTGCTGAAATTGACCAGCGGCTGACTCGGGGAAGTCGGGGGCAGAGCAGCTTTTCCCCCAGCTTCTCGGAGTCAGCCGCTGGTCAGTTTCAACAGCAGCTGACTTGGGGAAGTGTGGGGCAGAGCAGCTGGGGTGCTGCCGGGTTGGTCCTGCAGCGCCGAATGGCGCATGCCCCCCACTCCAACCCAGACTCCTCATAGCCCCCCCTTCCGATAGTCCGGAATATCTGATAACCTGGCACCCCCTGGGTCCTAAAGGTGCCAGATTATCGGAAGTTTACTGTACTGTGTTTATGGCAAGAATCTACAACCACAGAAATCACTGGCTACGTCTAGACTACATCCCTTTTTCGTAAAAGGGATGTAAATTAGACGTATCGTAATTGCTAATGAAGCAGGGATTTAAATCTCCCCCGCTTCATTAGCATAAAAATGGCTGCCACTTTTTTTCCCGCACGGAGCTTTGTCGGAAAAAAGCGCCAGTCTAGATGCTGATCTTGCGGAAAATAAAGCCTTTTCTGAAAGATCCCTTATCCCTCTATGAAATAAGGGATAAGGGATCTTTCGGAAAAGGCTTTATTTAGCATTTGTAACAGAACAGATGTTTTGGGAACTGAAATCTTCTATTTATTACCAGTTGAATCTGAGCTCCCCCTGTGATGCTTTAGCAAAAAAAGAGCTAGCATGATAATTGTGATTCATAAACAATGGAATAATAAGTAAGAATAGGGATATTTGAGTTCTGATATCCACATGTTAAAATGGATAGAGAAATTTAGAGACAATTGAAAGAAAAGCTATGAAAATGATTCACTGTCTGGAAAATATGCTTTATAGGTATTACTAAAGGAGCTCAATCTATTTCATTTTTACTTGTTTGCAATCTGTAATTACTTATACAGGAAGAAGGTATTACTTCATCTGAGGGTACACCTACACTATAGACACTATTCTGGCATAGCTATGTTGTTGCAGATACACCAGGATAATCTCATAATGCAGACACATCCTACACCATGGCATCGTTTCTATTGGTGTAGAAACCCTACCTCCACAAACAGCAGCTATGTCAACAGAGGCATTCTCTCATCAACTCAGCAGGGGTTAGGTCAGCACAGCTATGTTGATCATGGGTGTGGGGTTGGGTATTTTTTTTCAGAAAATAGAAGTAGCTATGGTGATCAAGTTACTAATGGATTCTTTAATCTAGCAGCAAAGACACAGTAATGTCTGAAAGGATCAAGTTGAAATAAAAAAAAAATCAGAAATACGATGCCAATTTTACAGGGAGTTTAATTTACTATACAGGCTGCCCCCGACTTGCGACGCGATTGGCTCTGGGGAAAGCATCACAAGACAGGGGTATTGTAACTCGAGCCCACATTTACAACAGGTGTCGTACGCCATTGTAAATCTGGGGCCATGGACATAAGTCAGGGGATTTCAGCCCCTTTTGCATTTATGGAAAAGGTCGTAAGTGGGGGGGGGGGGGGGGGGGTCATAAATTGGGCTGCTGTAAAGTGGGGGCTTCCTGTATATTACAAATAAAAAAGTTGCCATATGTATAAAGGACAAGAAACCTGAGTTGGCTTTGCAGAGCTGCTTTCACAAATCCCACTGAGGCAGGGTCTAAAAGTACTGTGGTGGCAGTACACTCGGCTCCTGTGGCCATGCAAGAAGTAAAGGGATGGGCTCCAGAATGAGCCCAATCCAGCCTCCACTGGTCAAGATCAGTCAGCATAATGCAAGAGCTTTAGGAAATAGGAAACATCCTCAAATTGCTGGAGAAAATACTTCCTTTGTTGAGCAGAGGTAAAACCTTGACTTTGAAAACAGGTACACAGGTAATGACAAGTAGAATGCAAATCTGAACAAATAGACTCACTGTGGGGTCATTTGTCTCTCGAAGCTTGTGTGTTAATGACAACAACTGTTCTACCGCAACCTTGGGAACATCTGGAATCTATGTGAAAGACCAAACAAAAAGTATTTTATATATATATTTCATATTTATGTATACATGTGTAATTTATATACACACATACACTTAGACAGAGCATATGCAAATATGTAGCCCATATACATTTATTTTAAATAACCAAAAAGGAATAATTGTGTAACCAAATATGAGAACATAACTGTAATAGAAAACTACTGAGATGAATTTATACTAATTGTAGTAGAAGATACCCAAGACTTACAATTCAAGGGGTCACTTCTGCTGAATAAAGGATTTCACATCATATAAGAAAAGGGAGTAGCTACTATATATTAAAATATTCCAGTTCATAATCATATTCACATTTTAAATAGGAGCCAATACTAATAATGGTCTAAAGCATTGCAAGTGCTTACCATTTCTTTAATAACTTGAATTTCTTCATTCCTGGTTAAGGACTTAACATTATGGAACATAAACAGAGTTAGAAACTCTGGGCCCAACCACTGTTTTGTGCTGCTTCCTATGACAGGAGGTTCTGCCAAGGCAACTATTCTGAATGAGGAATGGATAGGAAAGATGGACCTGCAAGAAAATATTTTTTCAAAATACATTACCTAGTTGAAGCAGCAAGAAACAAATCTGAACTTACAAGTACAATTAATCTTCACGTGAATTATTTTATTAAGCCACAGCCACAATTTCTAGTTGGGATAATCACAGTGCAATGTAACAAAAATCAAAACTGACAAAAATTGCATATTGTTACTAGCAATATATATAAAAAAATCCCTCTCATACTATGTAACGCCTACAAGGTTACCCAAGTGTTGGCTTTATATTGCATGGCCTGGATGATTAAAGTTGAGAAAATACCAGTAACCACACCACCATTTGTTTACTCTTTTGTATGTATGAAACAGATAACATTTACAAATGTGATGAGTTTTGAAATATTCTCCAAGAGCATCACCTAAAACTAAAAGGCAGATCAAGGAGGCAACAATCAACCTTCCCTCTGAGCTGCTCAGAAGCACAACTCCGTAGGGGTATGTCTACACTACAAAGTTAATTCGAACTAACTGACTTTAGTTCGAATTAACTTTGATAGGCGCTACACTAGCGCTCCGCTAGTTCGAACTTAATTCAAACTAGCGGAGCGCTTAATTCGAACTAGGTAAACCTCATTCCACGAGGACTAACGCCTAGTTCGAATGAACTAGTTCGAATTAAGGGCTGTGTAGCCACTTAATTCGAACTAGTGGGAGGCTAGCCCTCCCCAGCTTTCCCTGGTGGCCACTCTGGGCACCACCAGGGAAACTCTTCTGCCCTCCTCCCGGCCTCGGAGCCCTTAAAGGGGCACGGGCTGGCTACGGTGCCCGTGCCAGGTGCAAGCCTGCCAGCACCCAGCCAGCAGACCCTGCACCTGGCACAGCTC